CTTTACTCACACTCTACACTCATATACTGGTATCAATAATAATACTGAACACACTATCAGTTACACTATCAATAATGTGTCATTATCTGATGCTGGAGAATATACTTGCCAGTACAATATAAGTACTAATAATTCATTTGTTCTACCCAGTGGTAACATGAGAGCTTCAACTGATGTTTTAATTCAAAGTAAAATTAATCATTTTAGTTTTTAGTTGATTTTGTTTCTTTTAGTTCCTAATGACGAGATCCCAATGATTAATCTCATTCCTCATCAGTCTGAGTATGATACTGGTAGTAACATTACCCTCTCATGTTCTGTCACTTATCTCATTGACATTGATACTAGTTTGACTCTACAATGGTTCAATTCATCTAATCACACTCTTAACTCCAGTACCATTATCAATAATAATAATGGACGCACTCTTAACTACACTATTAGTAATGCAAGACTATCTGATGCTGGACAGTATACTTGTTCCTTCTTCATTAATACCAGTGTCCCTTATATAGTTAATAGCAATACTACCAGAAATTTTACCATCATTAATATAAAAAGTAAGAAGCAAGTGTATTTTTTTCTCTATTTTTATGTCTAATCTGCAGTACCAAATGACATCACTCCATATATACTGATCCATCCCTCCAAATCCTACTATAATGTTAATGATAGCATTACTCTCTCTTGCATTATCAATTATACTACTAATCACCTTATTGATGTTAATACTACTGTGAACATACAATGGCTCAATGATAGTCTGGACTCATATACTGAACTCAATGATCAAGGCCAACACTCTTTTGATTACACTATTAGTAATGCAAGACTAACTGATGCTGGACGGTATACTTGTTCCTTCTTTCTTAATGCAACAATGAACAATGATGTCATACACAGTAAAATAAATTATAATTTCACAAGTATTACGGTTAAAAGTAAGTAGTTTTGTAATATTTATAGTATTCAATGATACTATTTTGCTTCTATTTTAGTTCCTAATGGTGAAAACCCCTCGGTTAATCAGTTAAAACCTTACTATAGTGTTGGTGACAGTATTACCCTAACTTGTAATGCCACTTATCCTTCTTATATTGCTACTAATATGAACATGCAATGGCTCAATTCCTCTAATCACACTCTTCACTCATATACTGGTATCAATAATAATACTGAACACACTATCAGTTACACTATCAATGATGTATCATTATCTGATGCTAAAGAATATACTTGTCAATACAATATAAGTTCTAATAATTCATTTGTTCTACCCAGTGATAACATGAGAAATTCAACTGATGTTTCAATTCAAAGTAAGCTATTTGTATATG